TTTTTTTATTGTTATTTTTTTTACCCGGGTTAAAATTAAATTAAACAAATAGGTGGATGATAGGGGAGAGTCATGTGTTGGAAACCCGTCCTGGGTAAGACGATAAACTACACCCGCCTCCTGGGTATGACGATAAACTACATCCGTGTCCTGTGTAATACGATAAACTACATCTGCGTCCTGGGTATGACGACAAACTACATCCGCCTCCTGGGCAAGACGATAAGCTACAACCGTATCCTGGGAAAGACGATAAACAACATCCGCATCCTGGAAATGACGATAAACTACATTCGCCTCCTGGGTATGACGATAAACTACAAACGTGTCCTGGGAAAGACGATAAACTACATCCGCATACTGGAAATGACGATAAACTACATCCGCCTCCTGGGTATGACGATAAACTACATCCGTGTCCTGTGTAAGACGATAAACTACATCTGCGTCCTGGGTATGACGATAAACTACATCCGGGTCCTGGGCAAGACGATAAACTACATCCGCATCCTGAGTAAGACGATAAACTACATCCGCGTCCTGGGTATGACGATAAACTACGTCTAACAGCAAGGTCTCTGATCAAGAGGTTTTGGTGAGCATGGCAATACCTCTTAATTGCAGGTGTCCCCTCTGACCGGGGTGGTAGCACCTGTTATTGTCCCGTCTATGTGCAAAAAGTTAACAACCAAACTTGTTCAAAAAAAAAGTTTTAATACCAGAAATACTTTGTAATAAAAAAATTATAACCAGAAATAATTTTTGAAGTAAAAATTTAAAAAATACCAGCAATAAAAACAGCTATATATTTTTTGAAAAATATATTACCAGCTAGAGATTTTTTCAAGGAAAAAATATTGACAGAAATAGATTTTTAAAGTAAACATATTACCAGCAATAAACATTTTGTCGGCATTAAATTACCCACTGAGGTTGATATGCTTTAAAAAAAATAAACCAAATCAATCTAAACCAAAGAATACATATTCTATTCATACGAATCTATCCTAAAAATGTTGTCAGCATTAAATAACACATTGAGGTTGATATTCCGTAAAACAAACCAAACCAAGTGTTGGAAACATATCTTATATATAAATAATGGTTCCGACAAGGAACATAAAAATATTTTTCTCTTTGACAACACATTTTATTTCAGGTATATATAGTCATTAATGTTTCAATATGAGACAAAAATAAACGTACAATAATAGCCCAGTTTGGTTTTTTCTTCTTTCTATGTGCTGCATCCATTCAGGATGTAGGCGATCATGGCTCTCACCCCCCCCTCTCTCAATAAGTTTCTTTCCTCTGTTACCTCCCACAGACAACGTTCTGTCATCCACTTGCATAATGCCGCTAGGTATGTTATGCGTTGTTTTCCCTTGTCTCTCTTTTCGTCTATTCGACACGTGAGTATCAGATTCTCCAGGCCCTCCTTCCTCATAATGTGTCCCAGGAACTTCATCTGCCTCTTTCTGATGTTAAATATGTCTCCTCCGTTTTTGCATCCTCTCTAAGACCTCCGAGGAGAATAAATACATTTACGAATAGATACCTGAAGATAACAGAATATTTCTTTTTCTTCCATGTGTCGTGTCTGTTAATCACGTGGGCAGTAATGTCACTCCACAGCATCCTCTCATTTGTACCTCTTAATAAACTTTTATCATGTCTTCCAATCCCTGTTCTGCGAAGGATTTGCACAAGCTCGTTAGATAGTGATTTGTTGGTTTTTCTGTCCCTCTTGCCTTCTCTCTCCTCATTATGTGCTCTAGAAATGTCAACTCTATCTTCTTGATGTTAAATATAAGTGTCCATTTTGTTTCTGTTTGCCTTTAAGCTTTGTTGGTTCAGATGTTCGGTATATTGTATTCTCAGTATCCTTCTGCAGAGCCATATTTTTGTTGCTCCTTCTCTTCTTCGTCGTTGAAAAGATTATCCAGCATTCACAGATATATTAACTGTTGTGGTATAAATACGTTAGCGCCGGTAACACAAATGATCTAAGCAAGCCGCCTTAGATAAAGTAGTTCGTTGGAGTCAGTCGAGGAGAATTTCTAACAAATGTTACGGCGGCTGCCTAACCGTGACATAATATTATAACCGCTAGGTATGAGCTATAACAGGGGGCGATACGGGATCGAAACAAATGCGCACGCGGAGTAGGAAATAACAATGACGACGAGAAATTAGAAAAACTTTGCTTTCATTTTGTTTTGTTTGTTTTTTCTCTTCCTGAGTATAATAAAGAAAATAAAAGAGAAAGAACGAAAAAAAAAAACCCAAAAAATGACAGATATTCTTTTAATATTGAAGAATTATGAGCCCTTGTGGTAAAAATACAACAGCAACAACAGCAGTTGTTGGAACTCCAGAAACAAAAAAAAAATTTAATTGAAATAATAAGCAAGAAATCGGAACAATATTTAAATTATTTTCCTCACCTTTGTGGCCATATTTATTACAACGTTTCGGCCGTTCAGTATTTGTCTATATTTCTGTGATGAAATATTCTG